AGTAGTGGCTGATAGAGAGACGGCTTGATGGTCCCAGAAGTGGGGCTTTTATTTGGTATCTCTTTGAGGTGTTTCATTTGGAGCTGTAAAAGAAATCAGAAGTGTTTGGGTGTTAATGCTAACCTGCAGTTTCTCCAGAGTGTCTGTTGTTTTGATAAGAGCTGCTATTAAAAAGCACAATGTTTGATCAAAACTACTTGATTGAATTCACAGGTCAACAGCAAATGCTGGTTGTGTTCTTCAACCAGCCTCATGTTTGTAGTCTACCACTCTGGGGCTGTGGTCCTGGGATCCCTGGAATGCAAAGAAACAAATTCTAGGACACCTGACGAACTTTAAACCCTGGCAGATTAGCATTTAAAATAAATTACATTAATGCTGTGCATGCATTTGCATTAACACTGTGAGTATCCATTTAAGATGTAATGCAGGTATGCTCATAATTTGTGAAAGATGGAATCAAGAGTATAGCCATGGTGAGAGCAGGGGATAGTTTGAAAGGGTGAAGCATGTTCTGGCCTGTTTGCTCTGTTTAGCCATAAAAAGGAATTTGGAAAATACCCCATTTTAAGAGTTTGATTTTACAGCAGTGATGTATTGGAGAGTGCCTGAGGTGACTCCAGTAATTGTTATGGGGCTGTCCATATTAAAAGTTACCTCTGCAGCTGAGTGGGACATGCAGGACCTGGTCTTCATTCCATTTAGGACCAAGTGTCATAGCTAGACTAGGATATGTATGTTCTGAACCCCAGATGTGGCATTCTTAGAATGAGTGTACTGTGTGGCTGTCTTTCCATTTGCAATGACAAATGAGGTTTCTAGCCCATATAGATAAATAATTTTTATGGGACAGTGTGAACTACATAATAATGGAAAGGGTTTGCCAGCTTAGCTGTGCTTTTCTAGAAAGCAACTTTCTGCCTTTTGTCATTTTATGCTCCTGATCTGAGTAGTGATTCTGGAAGTCTGCTTTATACCCAGCCTTGTATCCATTCAGTTCACATCTCAGTAGGGTGATGTCCTAGGAATAATCCCAGTACTTTAGGGGCATCATTTCTTCAGGTGATAAAATAAAGCTTATGAGGATCCTGTGATGAGTTCTGCTGAATATAGAATGGGTCAGCTGTGATATAGCAGGGCAAGGCTTCTGTTCAGTGTAGAGTTCTTTGTGCTCTCACTTGTGTAGTTACCACTTTTTTCTCCAAAGGAACTGCTTTTTGAATGAAACTCAGTTGGAAACATGCTGGCACATCATTGGCCTAAGTGGAATAACAGCAGTAAATTGCAGTGGTTGTTTATGTACAAACCTGACACTCGAGCTCACAGAAGTTTGCCACTGGTGTGTTCTGCCATTCTTATGGGTAAAGGGAGTTACACACATTCTATGCGAAGTTACTTTGTCTTTTTTCCCTGTCTGCATTTTGATGAAGCTGAGGCTTAAAGTTAATGAAAGACCTGACTGTAGAAGTACATGCCATTCAAGAACCAACAGCCAGTGTGGATAGAGGATCTCTTCTAAAATAGATTTTGGAAAACAGTCTTTTGAGAAAACTGATGTCTTTATTGTCTTTTATTGCCTGACTGGCCTGGGCTGCATTCAGTCATTTTGTGGTGAGTTGAGAGCTGTTCTAGTGTATAGCCATATCTTGAGTTGTATGCAAGCCTTGAAATCTGTTAGGTTTCCCTTCAAAAAACTTTCACAGGAAAAAAGACCCAATAGTTACAGGAAAGAGAACCAGATTTGTTAACAGAAGAGTTTTGGGAACTCAAGGAAGGTGTGTTTTTTGATTTCCTGAGCTTTTTGATCTGATATGCATTATCCATACATAATTTTGAGAAGGTCTGGAGCTGAAAGCGAAGTGATACTCTTGGAGCAGTAGTGTATTCATTAATAACACAGTGACCTTTGCTCATTCCTGTTCCCCATCCCAAGTGTTAGTTGTGGTAGGATACAAGCTCAGCCCGGCCAGTTGAAGTGATTTTTTTAAAGGCCTGAGCTATATCATTTGAAGTCAATGAGAGGAACAATAAAAAATGTGCATGTGAAAGTGACGCCTTGCTACCAGGCTGTTTTCATCTCAGGGTTGCTGTTATGCTAGAAACACTCAGTCTGGATAAGAAGGGACCTTTTTAAGGGGGAAAATTTTGGCCCACTCAGTTTTGACTGAGTAGTCATTCAGAGATGTCTTAGTATGCAGAGAACACATTTGCTCAATTAGCTGGCATCATCTTTCCAAACATAGCCCAAGAGTTGCCTGAAGTACAGTATTGGTGCCATGAAACAAGCACCTCTGAAGTCTGCTGAGGAGCTGAATGGAAACCATGGCTTCTGGCTATCGTTTGGACCAGCTTAATGTGCTCTGGAAAAAAGTATTTCACACGTCACATCACACCTGCTGAAAAAATAGCGTGCATCAGCAGTGCTGTAATACAGAGTAGAGGACTCTCAGCAGGTGTTAACGTGCTGAGGCACTGAGCATTATGGTAACACCTGTGTTTGTTTAAATCCAGCCAAAACAATTTCCTCTCCAGTTGTAGAGGAGGATTTAAAAAAAAAAAAAAAAAAATCTCCCTAATTTCCAGTAGTAGCAGACATTCCTGTAAAACAATTTGCATAGTATTTCCCATGGTGCACTCTGCTTGCACTGGGATTTTTTTTTTTCTTCAAACCCTTTTAGTCTGGGGACACCTTTAGTAATGTCAGTGCTTCCCGGCCATCTCTTTGTCCTTTGCTAGCATTGCCAGGCCCAAGCAGTTGCAGATGGTGTGCTCTCTGAGTGCTTTCCTTAATTGAATGAAAAATAAAGCCTCTTGTAAAATATTACCAATTTAGATGTGACTTATGGGGCACATATGATGCTTATTTTTTCAATTACATGAAAACTTGGCGAGGTTGAACATAGGAAGCCAAGTGTTCTGTGAAGCCAGTATAGATTTCTGGATTTTTGGGTGATTTTGTTTTACATTATTATATAGCAGGAGGAGGTGAAGGAAGTCAGCAGCTAAACTGTGTTTTTCCAGCATGTATTTTACTCAGTGGACCCTTGATGCTCATTTCATGACTAATATATGCTGTACTATATGCATTTCTTGTTGTCACCAGAGATAACATTAAGTAAACTATCCCCTTAAGAAAAACAGCTTTTCTTGGCAAGTGGAATATGACTCAAGGAGCCAGCACTGGAGACATACGGTGCTGTGAATGAGTGCTGTGTGTTACTCTACTGGATCTGAGTCCAGGCACTATTTATACTGCAGCATATTCAGCACCAGATTGTTAAATCTTAATACTGAAACAGTGCATCATTGAAATGTTTTTGTTCTGTTTATGTCCCATTTTTAAGCATTGGATATCAAGCAACACTTACTAGCTTTTTGTTTCGTTTGGACAATATCTCTCTTTGCCAAAAGCTTTCTAATATGCTCTTGAAATATTAGCCTGTCTGTACCAGTATGTTACAGTGAAACTTTGTGCCACTGAGGATGAACTAGGTCACTTTCAGCTTCTTTCAGTATGTGGTGACAGAATGCCTTGCAAAGCAGTACGTTGGTGGTAAATGCAAAGATTTAAGTGCTACAGAAAAGGAGTTGTACTAAAATTATTTCCTCTTCAATCTGTGTAGGAATGGGGAAAAGTACTCTATAGCACGTATTTCATGGGCTCCTTGTGTTCTGTTATTGTCTCTGTGAGAAGCTTTGTTTCACTGTTTCAGCGTGGTGTTTATTTTATGATCATTTTTGGGAGATCAGGATAAAAGGTTTTTGTCATTTACGGCAGTTCAATTAGTTCCAGAGCTGGTGAAGGGCTGGGAGGAGAAAGTGAGGAGGAGATGGTTGAAGTTTCTTGGCATCACAACATTCTTCCAGATACCCAAGAGGAGTTCTTGGCGCGCCTGTTATCTCAGAAGTAGTCGTCTCATGCATTAGTGTATTCCTTTTTTTCTGGCAGTTGAGTTTATGGATGTCTTTTCAGAGATTAAACAGTATATAAAGAAACCTCAGGAGGCATCAGTCTGAATGGGAGAATGGTGTCTGTGAATTGTAGGGCTGAGCTGAGGAAAGTTAAGCGAGCAGAACAGTGGGACAATGGGAGCACAATGAAGGAGGAAATAAAAGCAGTAGTGGCAGTACTGCAGAACAAGGCTGAACTGCTTTGCTGTCATGTAAGATGGCACTGTGGCTTTCTTTGTTTGGTGTCTTCCTGGAAGTCATTCCTGGGATTAGTCATTGTTTTTGGTGTGGGTGGGCTCTCTGCAATTGTCTAAACAGAAATAATACCTCTGCACCAAATGGTTTGCCATCCAAGTTTACAGTCTTTGTGACAAGCTCATCCAGAAGAGGTGATGATCCCTATTAAAGAATGAACAGAAGTAGAAATAGAACTTACAGCATTCTCCCCCGCCTCCAAAAAGCTATTTTGGATCTGCGGTCAGCAGCTTGCTGTTGTTTGGTTCTTATTTTTTTTTTCCCCACAAAGAAAAGCAACCGTCTGCATAGTGCAATTTGTATCTGGGAGTGAACGCTTCCTACTTGGTGGGTTTCCAGTGGCATCCATCCACACTGGGAATCATACCATGCTTAGATTGTAACAGTGCTGAGAGCCCACGCATAGGAATTTTCCTGTTCAAGTCAAAAGTAATACATTTATTTACTGGAAAGCTTTTCTAGACTGCAAAATCAGGACTAGAGAGTACTTAAGCTTATTCTAACTTAAAGAACTAGGCTTTAGAGCTAGTGAAAGATGTGAAGGGAGGAAGTCGCCTGTGCTTCCTTGAAGAAATTTAAGTCAGGAACATGTCAGCAACTGTCTGCTAAAAATTTTAAACCTATTCCTGCTCTTCCTCACTCGTTGGCTCAAGAGTCAGTAGAACATGTCTTACTGGGCAAGACTGCAATAAACCTGAAGACAGATCTTGAATCTTGTGGAAAATCAACCTGTCTGAAGGGTTTAGTAAATGGCTGATAAAATATAAAGTATGGATTTTTTGTTTTCTTTTCAGGAATAATCAAGCTTGGGAGGTGGAATCCCCTCCCTCTCAGTTATGTGACTGATGCACCAGATGCGACAGTAGCCGACATGCTACAAGATGTCTATCATGTTGTGACATTGAAAATCCAATTACAAAGGTGGGTGTTTCTGAACATCTGTCCTTCCCTATTCTCTGAGCTACTCTGCTGGTTACAGCATTGCTACAGAGATTAGCACATCCTGCCTTCATTAATTTCTGGGCTTTTGATGAAATGAAAAGAAAATGGAGAGAAGGGTGGGTCACCTGGCAGCTTTTTGGTGCATGTTCCAACTGATATTGTATGTTTTCTGAAGTAGCAGTATGGCAACAGAGAGGGGAAGGGCAGAAACACTGTCAAGTAAAGGTATGGGGCTTTTAGAGGCAGACCTTTCTACAGCCCATAATTTAATGGATTCTTAAGTTCTAATTTTATCAAATAATAAACTCCTTGCCTTTTTCTAGGGGCTGCATTGTGAAAATCCAGGTCTTCTGCAGCCAGTTGCTGAGATGTGGAGGAAGGGAGCTTTTTTTACTTTTCTTTTTTTTTCTCCAGTGGTCTTTCCAGCAAACAGAAGACAGGGAAGGAAAGTGTCACTGCAGCTCCATTTGGTGTTTGGAAAATATTTTCCTTCCCTGAGGGCTAGCTCTGATTAGCAAAGCAAAAGCTCCCAACGCTTTTACACTTATTTACCCTCCTTTCCTCCCACTCTTCCTTCCTTTTTTATTTCTTCTTTCTCTCCCTTGGCCTCCTAAAGAGTCCTCAAATGTAAGGTCCCTGGCAGGGCAGTGCATTCAGAGCTGCAGATAAGCCTACATTGCACAGCCTCCCATAGCTGTATGGCTAGAACATGACAGAGAAAAGAGTGAAAAATAGCAGATAGTCTGCAATAACTTGCTGACAATGCTTTGAAGCTTTGGCTTTGACAGAAGAGGGGCCCACAGGGATATGTGCATGTCCTTTGGTGACAGGTACATACCCTCCAACTGTTCAGTTCAATTTAGAATTTGGAGGTAGTTGATGCCTCAGTGACATTAAACTTCCAAACAGCAACATGTCTTTCTTGTTGAATCTCTAATGGTGCTTGGGTTTTCTGATTTCCATGAGCAGGTCTTTCCTTGGTTTTCTATGCTGTTAAAATTTTTCAGTTGGGCTGCATCTCTGCTGTGTAGTTGTAAAAGAGTGTCTAGACCCTATAGCTGCTATGAAACGAGTGTAATAACTCATTTCCTCAGAAGTGTGAGCTACGAGGAGTTCATGTAGTCTATTGTCACATCTGTACTAGCAAAGGATATGAACCTGAGATTAAGGTCTAATTCTTTATCTTCAAAGTGCCTGAATGCCCAGATGCCACATAAATAAAAGACAGTCTCCATGACTTTGAGATAAAAATAATCACAGATACTTGAACTCCTCAAGTACAACTGAAGGTTCAGCTCTGAGGGAAAAGCCAAGCTGTAAGGGCAGAAGGCAGAACCACCTTCTGGGGCCATTGGAGGGCATGCATTAAGGCTCTGCAGCAGAAATGGCAGTGCCAAACTTCTCCCACCTTTTTATGTGCTTCTTGGGTCTGTCCCCATTCATGCAGACACAAACCATAGGCTTGTTAAATTAAAAGAGGCACAAGTCATATGAAGGCAGAAGATTCACTGCATATGCGATTCTTGTGGAATGAAAGTGAGAATGAACTGCACGTGACAGATGTTGGGCATATGGCTTAATGTGTTTCTGAAAGGCTCTTGGATACTTCAGTGATAAGGGCAGCATAAGAACCTGTATAAAATTAAACTAATTTTTCAAAGTCACACAGTGAGGGCCCTCACTGTTCAGGGATTTTGTTAGTGGCAGTGCAGCATATATGTTTATTTTTCTACCCCAGCAGGAGTATCTTTGTCTGGAGAGGATGGCTTTACTCAGCCATTCCTGGGGCTCGCTTTATGCAGTTCCTTTGCTCTCCATCAGGCCCCAGCAAGATTGGTTATGCACGCATATACCATAGGAGGATCAGCAGCCGCGTGTTGAACTGCACATCTTCTGGTAATCGTGCTTGGTGGGAGAGGGATAGAGGGGAGAAGCACCTTGTTGGGCTGGCCAAGCAGGAGACTCCAGGGTTGTGCTTGCTGCTTAAAGGTCTATAGCACTTGCACGCAAAAAGTAAGCATCTGTGAAAGTGATGTTTCTATCTGCTTTTTGCTTTCTGTTTCAACAGTTGTTCAAAGTTGGAAGACTTGCCAGCAGAGCAGTGGAACCATGCCACAGTTCGCAATGCCTTAAAGGAACTGCTCAAAGAGATGAATCAGAGCACATTAGCCAAAGAATGCCCTCTCTCACAGGTGAGTGCTTTCACCAGGCTTAGGGAAAGAAAGCTCAAACTAAAGCTCATACTTGTTCTGTAAAGAGCCTACATGAAACAATGCCATAAATACCAAATAAATTTCTTGTTTTCTTTAGAAAGGAGAAATTCTAATGAACATGTTAAATAGTATCTTCACACCATGTTCCCTTAGCGGGTTGCCAGGTAAAACTTATGAATTAATTGATTGGTTTTCATAGACATGTAAATCCTTTATTTAGACTTTTATCTGACCTATTGCAATAGGACTGATGATCCTCAAATGCAAGATTTGAGTGGCTTCTTCCCACTAGCAGAGGCTTGCCTTCCCTCTAACCCATGGGTACCTCTCATCAGCCTGCAACCATGATAAAAAGTATGCAGTTTTAACAGTTGTGCCCCAATTTCTAGGAAACAGCAACAAAAACATGTATATGTAATTATGTTAAAAAAAGAACAAAACCCTCAGCCTCATTCTCTATGACTGCTTTACAAACGGCAGTGATGTCATGTCTAAGACACAGGTTCCTACAGATGTCACGAGCTCTATTCGTACTTCAGATTGTCATAATGAGACATTCATAAAATTTTTATGACTTACTTCTCCTTGCCTCTCAGAAAAAACGGAGTAACACTTTATCACTGAGACCAGGTAACTTTGCTAGGCATGGAAAAAAAATAAATATATATTGCATTCCAAAACATGTACTAGAATCAGGTTAATCTGTCCTCTGTGTCTTCTAAAAGTCAAAACATGGGTAATTCCAGCTTCCTAGAAATCCATTGCTTTGTTTTCTCATATCCAACATTTATTTATCCTGTGACTGTCTGTCTTCCATTGCACTGTATGTTCATCCTACAATTCATGATCCAAAGCCTCCAGAAACCAAGAGAATTCTTTCTATTCACCACAACTTTGCCTCACTGTGGTATGATTACAACTCCAGGGACAACACAGAGAGTGAAATACAGAGCTGGTAGCAATCACATTCTTCACCTACTTTAGCCATGTGGGATCTGCAGAACTAACAGGAATGGAAGGGTTTTGTAAGGAAAAGCCACGGAACTTGCTGATTTAGTAAAGGAGTAACAGTCACTGTAGATACACGTAGTGTGGAACACACGTTGAATACAAAAGTGTTTTCCTTTTCACACAGTTTAAGTGTAATTTCTTTAAATAGAATTATCTGTGGAATCTGGTCAGCTAATGACGATTGCAGCATATGGTTGTCTCTGCCCAGTCTTCTTCAATATCCAGCATAACTAAACTGCATCATTTCATATGCAGAATTCATTTGTTGTCTAGGTCTGTTTCCTCCCACTTCAGTTTCAAAGCCTACCAGGTGGAAACGCTGCAGTTGGTTTACTCTTTCTATAGCCTCAGTCTGACATGCATTTACAAAATTACTGATGGCAGAAGTGTAGCAGCCAAAATCCTTGCCCCCCAGTATTTATTTAGCAGACAAAGCTAAGAGGAGATCCTTCTGCAGGTAACAGAACTTGCTTACTTTTAAGCACAGGTATAAATGACCTTGGGTAGTGACTAACCCTTGAACTGAGACTGCAGAATGCAGCTTGTATCATTATTATTATTGCCATAAAAAGTTTCGGTCTCTTTTGGTTTAGCTTACAATATGCATAAGATACAATGGAAGGTTGTATAGAAGCTGTCTATTACCATCATCTGAATATGCCTCTAATACAATTCCTTCTCCCAAATCAGTTTTAAAAAAATACCGTGCCAAATGTGAAACGTCATTACAACCCCCTTGTGGTTAATATATTATTGACAGCAGCAAATTGCAGAGTGGTCTCTTAGGAGTCAAACTGCAGAGTAAATGCTGCTGTTTATTAATGTGTTCACAGTGCCTCAAGTACAGAAGTGGAGAGGGGCAGCACAGGGAGCTCCCGCTCCCACCAGCGACAGTGCTCCGTCTCTGGTTCTCAGTGCCTGAGCTCTCCAAGCAGCCCAGATGGGGATTCTGATTGCTGCTAATGGGAAATGTAATCATTCACTTTGATTTAAAATTGTTCTGGTTTTTTTCTGCTAGGTGTATTACATGTCTGCAGCTTAGCTACCCTTAGCATACGGCTCCTGTTCAAACAAATAAATCCCAGTTAACCAAGCTGGGGGGAAGGAGGGTGGGTGGGGGGAGTGTGTGTGGCAGAAAGAAATCCAATTATTTCAGTGTTTCCATCTTTTCATAGAGATCTCTGTCTTTCCTGTGTCATATAACTCATTTCAGCACTGACCATGCATTTTGTCTCTTTGCTGGACCAGTCTTTCTTGGGATGTGAGCCTGTCCCATGTTTTTCTCCTTGAACTTACTGCACCAGATTTTCTTTGTGTGCATATTTCTTAGCTCCTGGTCTAAGTAGTTTTCATTCCACATGGCTGTCGTGGCCACACACATACCAAACATCTCTTCTGCTTTATTCCTTCCTTAAGGATTTTTCCAGAAATATTATGCATTATTTAGAAATTTGCAACTAGAGAGTGATTTTTTTTTTCCCCTGCTCTCTTTTAAATGGATATTACATTTTTGCAGACTTATCAAGATTCCTAAGAGAAATACCCCTAGTGTTCCTTTACATATAATAGTGAGGTGGTTTGAAAAATGTTCTAGTTCTTTCCTCTGCAGAAGAGAATCTGTCCTGGGTTTTTTTCACCAATGGTTGATGTATTGTTTGATTTTACTATATAGTTGAAGTTTTGCTTTCTCAAATAAAGGTCGGTGGGTTAATATATTCTGTGATACTTAGTAGCCCCATGATTTCAGTAATGTTGATTTCTTCCAGAGCTAGATGGAGAAGGAGCTCACCCCTGCCCCCCCCCCCCCCCAAAAAAAAATAATTAAGAGAACCAAATTGATATGTAGACAGAGTTCAACAGTTTCCCCATCCTTCCTCAGTGAATGGAAATTTAACTGAAGTGATGCAAAAAAACCTCAGGTTTGCTCCACTTTCAAAAGCCTTTTTCAGCAGAGGCTATTGCCATATCAGGCTTTCAGAATTCTATTGCTTGTTAAAATGCTGTAGAGCAAGGGAAGATTTATGGGCAGGGAATTGCTGCTGACTGCCACAATGCTAGGTTTATGTCTCAAAATATTGATTTTAATTAGAAAATTGAGTCTTAGTTTTAGAAATTGGAGCTGCTGCTTAACAAGGCTCTTACTTCATAGCCTTCAAACTCTACTGCAGTGCACCATAGCACCCTTTGAGAAGAAAAGGCAGAGTGAAAAGGCAGAAGGGCATCTTTAGTGTAAGTGAAATTACCTGTTGAAGACTGAAAGTAATCTGTATCACCGAGTTATTTTAAGTTGCTCAGTTTTGCTCACATTTTTTAAGTTCCTGAAACTCGAGAGTTAGGAACTCTCCTAACTGCTGTGATACTGCAGTGAATAGGACAGGAGGCTGGGTAAATCTAGAAGAGGGCAGGGATGATTTTGTTTTTAAAGCATGGTTAAATTCATTGAGCCAGTGCATAAACCTTGTAGCTTTCCAGAGATGGCCAAGAGCCTGCAGGAGCTCATAGGCCAGAGCTTGAAGCCATGGTTTGAGCTGTGAAATCATACTTGGTCTCTCCTCTCGGTGCAGAAGGGTTGCACAAGGTGCCACAGCTTTCTCTGAGCTTTGACATAAGTGCAGAAGGAGGGTGTGAAGAAAATAAAATACAATCTGTGGAGAAGGTGCATTGGCTCCTATGTGTTGGTGCTGTTAGATTGCATTTTCTTGCTGACAGTGTACACAGTCATTCCTAAATGATTTGACCCTGGAAGGTATCAGAAAGGGGAAAAGAAGAGCAAAACGTTTTTAAAAGGATGCCTCCTCTATAGCATGGAGGAAGAGAAGGGACAAAGAGAATGGAAAAACTACCAGTAAATGAGGCTGTTTGCTACCCTATGGCAGAAGCACCCCAGATACAAAATATCCTGTTTATTGGTATCAGGTACTGGAAAACCAGTCTGCTGCTGTCTCTTCAGTCAGTGAATTTGCAGAGTAGGGAGGGGTGCTGGTTAGGCAAGTGATTTCAGTTTTGTTGAGCTTTCTTGTAGGTTTTGACTGCTCTGTGTTGTAGTATGTGTAGTTCCCTGTGCTTTGAATGGCACTGCTAATTTCTCTTCTGGGTGATTTTTCACACAAGGGCTAATCACACGTTTCTATAAATTATATTAATTTAACTTATTTGCCTAACTGTTGTTCTGCAGCGAGTAGCACGGATGTTCTCCAGTTCTTGGCTGTGCAGCCTTGCTGCATTTGGAAGCAGAACAGTGACAACTGAAAAGCATTATTTGTATTATGCATGCTGGAGCATCTAATCTTACCTTTAGGATCTGGTTCCTAAATTGTGCTTGGTGCAGTGAGCATGTGTTCCTCAGCACAGCACTGCCTGTTGTTATGCAACTGAAGTTTAGCTTTTGCAATATCACAAGTACAAAGCAAAGTAGAACTTCTTCCCCCAACCTGAACTGCAGGTCTCAGTGTAGGTTTGTACTACATTTTTTTTTTACATAATTGTACAAAATAATTATTATTATTTTGTGATTTTATTCATGGCTGGGCATATAGACTGGAGAATAAAACCAATTTTTTGTACTCATCAGGCAGTTCTTTTGGGTTTAAAGTCACAAATGGATGATCATTATGCACTCGCATGTCATTTGCTTTCCCTGGAAAAGATTTCTAATTGTGGAAGATATTTTAAATCACTTTTTTGTTTTTCTTTCTATACTTCCAGAGTATGATTTCATCCATTGTAAATAGTACATACTATGCCAATGTGTCAGCAACCAAGTGCCAGGAGTTTGGGAGATGGTACAAAAAGTACAAGAAGATTAAAGGTAATTTGATTTCTTTTTGTTACTTTCCAGCTTCTTGGAATTCTGCTGACAGTTTGAGATGATTTGTTTTAAATAAAAGTAATAAGCAATAATAATATTTGTGAATTTGTCTACAAAGAGGACACAGTCACAGCACATTTGAAATTAAATCTGATACTTTACAAACAAGGCTGGCATGAAAACACAGGACACAAAACATGCTTAAAGTATCCCATTTAACTGTGCTGAAAGATCAACTGTGTTTTAAATTAAGCAAAAACATTTTGGAAAGAAAATGTTACAGTATCTCAGGATTTAAAAGTTAAATTGGTATGTAAGTTGCCTTTGTTTTTTTTTGTTCCTGAAAGCTGAAAACCTAACTTTTTAAATTACATGTACGCTTGTTCTCTGTTTTTAATATTGCAAAGTGTACTGGCATTCCTGCTGTATTTTATCCTGTGGAATCTGGATACAGAGGATTTAATACTGATTGTTGGGAGACACATGCAAATAACAAGGTGCTGCACCCACTGAAGTTAAGAGAAAAATAGCCCATTGTTTATGTTTTTGCTGTAATGAAATTGTATTAGTCGGTCTGCAGTGTGTGAGGCAGTAAAATTATTCAAAGTTCATCCCATTCTTCCCACTGAACTGTCTGATCACCTGTCAGTGGTGCACAAAATGATGTGACAAGCATCCATTGTGTGTGGTTTGTTCTTTCATTCTCACTTTCCTTTGGCAAGGGACTTAGGTGTGCAGCGGACTGTTTGTTTTAGTAGGTTTTTGGTTTGGTTTTTTTTTAAACACTCATGTGCTTTAAATTCTCAGAAGTTAGAGGACAGTAGAAAACTTTTTCATAATTCCACCTGGCTCCTCTCTACCCAAATATCCATCACTTTTGGAGATTAGTTGTATCCTTGGATAGGGTTTTTCCATAGTTTTTCTGTCTCTTACACAGCTGAAAGGAGGATTCATTGTCTGAAAGAAGGCATAGACTGTTACTGTCATTTCTGTCTGTGATCCTTTCAGTAGCCAGGAAAATCATAACAGAATTTACAAACATTATGAAGAAATGGGGCAATGTCATGTCCTTCCTGAGAAACCATTGTATTTTCAGTTGTGTGAAGACTATCACCTTTCATAAAGAGCATGCCATCTTTTCCTCATAAAAGGCTGGCAAACATAAGCTATTAAAGGTTGCTTGTTTTGTCTCCTTAGGACAGACTAGAAATCTGCACAGTAATGCCATAAAAAGTCTGCTGCTTGAGTTAGGAACGCATGAAACAAAATTGCGTGAAACATCAGAACAAGTTCTGAGGCATCTGGTTTTTCTCTGCACGTCTGGCTTGTGCAGAGCATACCTGTAAGACACTCATGCCTGGGCTCTGCAATGATTAGATTTTCACTTAGGGGAAAAAAGGAAAGAATGTTCCGTGGTGAAATTATTTGTGTCTAGAAGGAAAATTATCCAGGCAGGACTGGGGTAACAATGCAGGCAAGCAAATGGAGATGTTGCTTTTCACCTTCTAAAATGGCTTAGGCTAGAAGTTAAAATGTTGATTGGACATTTTAGTATGTGGTTACCCTCATGCCAAATAAACTGGGAATTTTCTTTTCTCTCTAAATTGTCATTGTGCGACTCAGAAGTGTTTCTTTTCTCTGAATGGTGTCTCTTAATAACAGAATTTTATTCAAAGTGCTTTAACATATCCTCATGGTTAAAAAGCAATCAGAGGAATCAGACAGCTTTGAGGTCATCAGCATTCGCTTTTACTTGCTGTTCTGGGAGAACAGAAATAGGCTTTTTTTTTTTTTCCCCATTTTTCTTTTTTTAAAACTGGGCAAGGGTGCCAGTTGCAGAGGCACTGGAAGCCCTTAACTGTAGTGTTCTTAACTGTAGAGATGCTACTACAGCTTCTGAGTGTTTCTAGCATACTGTTGTCTTCCACTTTCTTCCATTCTTACAGCTTACACCCTTACTTTTTTTTACTTAGTAAGTGCACAGTTAAATTGTTAAGTGCAGCAAAAGCAGAATGAAACCTCAATCAAAAGGTCAAGGATCCAAACCCAAAGAGGTTGCCAGATAACTCTGTATCTGTGCTATTCAGAGACACAGCCAGTCGTGGCTGTTTGGAAGTTTATGTGTGTGTTAGTAGGAGGAGAAAAAGGAAGGTTAAGGTATGTGTGAAGTAAACACAAGCTGCTATAAAGCAGTTCAAGTAGTGTTGATTCATCAACCATATGAGTGGGAGAGAAAACAAAGAGTCTGTGGCAGGTACAGTGGTGCATGGAGAATAAACAGCCATGCAACTTCAGAGCAGTAATCTTAACTGCCTGCAAACAGGAAGACTTCTGCACTTCTTTAGGTAGTTTCAGTTTCTCATCATCTCTCATTTCATGTTGTTTTGTTTCTTTTCTATAGCCAGATAGTCCTGCAGGACAGCTCAGTTAGTGTGCAAAATCAGTGACTCAAGTCACATGCATCAGTCATCACGAACTCCTTCACTAATACTTTAAGAAAGGACTTCCACGAAGGTGAACGGATGATGTGGTGATTTGTTTCTTTAGCTGTAGCTGGATAGATTAGGTAAAACGATGATTTAGAGTCCTTGGAACCAGCAGCCTTCTTCTTGTGTAACTCTAGAGTTGGTTACTAGAAAGTAAAAGCAAAAAACAATTCACATGAGCTGTGGTAAATACAAAATAGGAAGGGGCTTCAAAATAACTTTATTGACGTTGCAAACTAAATGCAGCCTACAGTGCTAAATGTGTTTCCTATTATCTGCTAATGTCTGTTTTAATAAAACAGTGGGAACTAAATGGTTGCTTCTTAATCAAAACCATGATTTCCTAAACATAAGCTATGTGATTCTGTTACAAATTGCCACAGATAGATCTACTAGGTCAAATTTTTTTCATTTCTCATAGAAATAAATAAACAGTAAATTAATTATACTCTCTGGAAGATCAAAGTAATTACAACCAAAGGCAGACAGAAACAAAAAGTTCTCTTGAAAAAAAGAATAAAAAGAAAAGCATCAGGTTGCTGAGTGCATACTTAATGTTTAAATAATATAAGAAAGTGAACAATCAATAATTTGATATAATTAGCAACAGATGTAAAAGCTGTACACAAATGGAATTGTATCAAATCTCAAGTAAATATTCTCAGTGTGCATTCTGTTGAACTCACCGAAAAGACAGCTGAACTACTTATGCTCATAATTCTAAAAAAGTTTTCAGTTAGTTCAGCTCAGCATGACAATTTTGTCTTGTGTCAGATGATGCTAGAATAAAATTCTGCTTGAATTTTTTTTCTCCCACCCTGCCCCATCCCCTTGATGTTTTAAGACTTTCACAGTTTACTCAGCGGCGTGAGAGTTAGTGTACAGCCAGATTTGGGAATTGGCAGGTGTGAGGCTTTTTGTCTGGTCCTGGGTCTGCCACCTGGGATGTGTGTGAAGACATGAGGGAGATTATGTCCACTCTTTCCAGTCTCTTTGGGATACAAGTATATATTTGAAGGAGAGCTTATATTAAAACAGTTCTAGTGGAATGTGTACAGTGGTTGGGAAGTAAAAGGCTTAACAGCTCTACTGTGGACTTTTTGCAATCATGAGTGTCTGTAATCACATGAGGTGGTAATTAAGCTATTTGCTATGTGTTGTAATTTTGTTCAAAATATGCACCATGAATTAATCTTACTATTTGAAGCCTCTTTTTCGCTTTTTTATTTACTTTTTCTCTTTGAGGTATGCAAGGCTTTTTAGTACAAGGCTTAATTATGTTTAAACCTGCCTCAGTGAAGAATCAGAGATCCCCCTATTTTACTAAAGAATAGATACTAATCAATGACAACTACAGACCAATGGCTTATTCCAGTGCTTCTCAAACTGCTTTTCTCCTGCCCAGTCCCATGGGGATGCTTCTCTCAATCTGAGAAACGCTCATCGTGATTTCTCTAGAAGCTGAACTTGCCGAGGCTGGGGGAAGGCATTCAGCATTGTTGAAATGCAGGATTTTAGTAATTGCTTGAAAGGTTTGCATTGATTTTAAATTTGATTAACAGATAGTTACAGGAATAAAAACAACAGTTTGTAAGTAACTATATATGTATATATATATATATAGGTATGTATGGAGAGAGGTATTTCAGAACTTAACCATGCAATTCAGGTAATTGTTAAGGATCAAACTCGTATGAGTTACCTACTTGTGTCCCAGTGTTTTGTGTTTGTAGCATTTAGAATATTTTTTAGCTCTCTTTCTCAATAGATATTTCACTTCCAAGTGTCATGCTTTCTATTTTTATCAGAAGGACTATCACTGTATCAGAATTCTTTCACAACTGAAAATCTTAACTGGTGTGAATATTTTCTTTTTGCCTGATGACACAACTTAGCTCGGTGGGAGGAAGTTAGGAAGGCAGCGGGAAGAAATAAATACATTGTGGACTTAAAAATAAAAATACATGCTTTTTTTGTCTGCGTATGAAGAACATGTCATCTTTGCTCCTGCCATCAGTGTCTGTCAAAATATAGCTTTCTGTGGATGTGAGTTTTGAGACTGTGGCTGTCTCAAAGTTTTTGTGGAATGATGAGGCTTTTTTGTTTAAAGGAGGAGGCCTCAATTATTTCTATTTCAACATATCAAGAATGTAAAAAAAAGCTTTCATAGCTTTCTTAAATTGAGAATCTGCTTTGGCTTCTCTTTGATTTTTCCAATATTACTGATTTGTTGTTTATGTGCTCTTATATTCTTGAACGTTTGTTTGCTTACTTCCAATAATGGATAGACAGAGCAATCTGTTTCACTCTTAATGTGTTCCTAGAGGCCAGTGTAGTTTCAGAGAGGTTAGAAACAGGGTTCAGAAAGGCTCCCAGCTTTCATATTTCCAGGCTGAAGGAACTGAGGATTGCAGTGATAATGCCAGTGTGAGCCTGGGGAAAACTGTCATTATGTGCCTTGAGGAAGAGTTTTTAATTGTTCTCTGAAGCAGATGTTGTGGAAGCCTCCTGAAA